TTACTATTATTATCTAATTAGATCAAACTCAAAATGATTTGTCACTTCAACAGAGCCATGGTGTTCATTGCTCGAATTCCCAAGATCTTTCCCAAAATTTGGATAGCAAATCTCAACTCGTCTACATATGCCCCATTTCTACAACTTGATCACCCCATTCATGTAGCATAAATTCATCCCATTTCTCTCCTGTCATGTCTAACCAGTCCCATTATCTATCTCCACCCTTAGTGCCTCTGATTCTACCCTATGTTCTTCATCATTTCTTATGTGTCTACAACTCCACTCTTAATGGCTTGGTTCGAATTAGTTTCAGAGAACATCAATCGAGTAATCCTGCAGCAAATGTAGGATGGAAACATGGGGCACTAGATATATCTCAACTATCTTAGAGTTGTGCATGTTTTCCAGCATACACACTATATTATGATGAGTACAGATGTTAACTAACACATTTGTCAACGACATGTTACATATCTTATATCTGTACTCCATTGGCAAAGTATACCCGAAGAAAATAACTGAATGTAATTTAGACCTAGAAAATGTAACCATGTCAACCACACCTCCTTGATATATTTCGACTCATTGGACATTCTATAGAAAACATTTCTGCATGGTGAACTTTGATGCGAAGAACATCGAATCCGGTTCTGCAAAACTTAAAATGGAATAAATGGCCAATGAAAGTAAATAAAGACAATAAAACACCACCATACCATAGGGTGGAACAACCTTGTTTATTGGGAGATGTATTTCGAATGAGAAGTGCTACAAGAACATAATGTTACACATAATGGTGTCTATAATTACACGTGGCACTGGATCCAACCTTCAATTCAAATTTCACATTTTCACATCAACAATGGAATTTTGTCCACATCATATTATGGACATCATTATGTATCCAAATTATGTACACATAGAATTTTCCATTTCGAATTGGCTTTTCAAACAATATATAAACTCAAAATATGAATAACCTTCACAATGTTCTCTGAAAGTTAAAATTGCGAAAAAAATCCTCAAGTTTTACATGGTTATCAATATAGTTGCAATTTTGAAATTTATGAAAAATTTTGAATATTGAGAGTAGACAGAAAGGTTTGAAACCAACGATCGTGTGAAAAGTGAGAGATCATTGATCGTTTGGGAGTATGGACCTTATTTACGGAGTAGATGAAAATACTCTGTGCTTGAATGGGACACGTGCATTGCAAGTGAGGATTTGACGGAAGCTTGGACGGTTTCCTTTTGTTCATTCTGACATGCAACAATTATGATAGTTTTGGAACCCATCTGTCAAAACATAAAGAACGGGGATCCAAGTGTGAGAAAATGTGAAGTTTCTACAAATTTTTTAAAATATATGTTTAATTTTGAAGTAAAATTTTAGCAAAAGAAACCAAACAAAGGCATAGTTATCCTACTTTTAACTTACAACAGGAGATGTAGATTTTTGGAAATAAATTTGTGAAAATACTATAAAAAAAAACCTTTTATAGAAGATATATAATTTTCACCGATACATTGTCTTAAAGAACAAAATTGCCTTTTACTAATAGAATTTGTTGTTTTAACGGACTATGTAACGAAATTTCTTATTTTAAACAGGCAGCGCACCTTCCTTCATTTTTTTTTTTATCATAACTTTGTATTCCGATGTCCGATTGAGGCGATTCAAAATGCGTTGAAAAGCTAACTCATCTGGCTAAAACTTTGATTCAGACATCATTCTCCAATTCGATCACTTTCCATGCCAAAAATAGGTCTCAATATGAGACTAAAACACCGGAGCATAACTTTTCGAATGAAAATTGATTTGTGGTCATCTTTTGACTAAATTTGATCATCTTGACGTCTTCCTTTATCCAATAGACTCCGAGCACTCTCAAATCTTCATCGTGAGATTCGGCACAGCTTTTAAGTATTTACATTTTAGTCCCCGAACTTTGGATCCCTTACAATTTAGCCATTTCTCCAAATTTGTCAACTTTTGCTTATTTT